TCCACAGAAGAAAAGATGAGGCAGTCTACTTCTGTAAAGATTGACAGCCTTGGAAACCCAATGAGGGTCACTCTGAGTTGGAATCAACTCAGTGGCAGTGAGTTTGGTTTGGTTTTGGATATATTAAAAATATATATTAAATTTTATATGACAATGAGAGGTTCATGGAGAGACATGTACTCCTAATTAAGTGGGATAAAAAGGGAATATAAATCACCTATAAGACAATGCCATATGTGTTCTGTTACTATAAGAAAGTGCTGTAAGAGTAGAAAGGAGGAAAGTGTAGGGTGTCTGAGGAGAATTAAGAAAGACTTCAGAAGGTAGGTGACATTTGAGCTGTGCCTTGTAAGATAAGTAGAATTTCACCAGACAGAGCACCATTGTGGAAAGAGAGTCTACCAGTGAGTTAGAAACAAAAACAAAAACAAAAAAGAACTAATAATTAGGTACTGTTTTTAAAACTCCATCTTTCAAGGTAATCTGTTTTAGCTTATCTTCTCTGAGTCTCTCATGTCACTTCTCCATTTTCTTCTTTTATTAAATTTCAATTACTTCTCATCTTTCTTTGTTACATTACAGTGATTCTATTTCAGCTTTAATATGTAACAATTGAGAAAGAGAGTTAGGAAGAACACTTTGGAAGGTTTTACAGCAAAAATTCACTAGTACCAGGAACTTCCTTGAAAGGAACAAAACATTTTGTTGCACTGAGAATAATTCTGTTTTGACAACAACACATGGATTTGGACCATCCAAATTCTCCTCCCTTTACTCAGGAAAAGAGGGGAAGAAAAAGGAATGTAGGGAGCAGACATGGCATCTTATCTTTGGAAATTCTAGGGAATTGGCTCCTTGGCAATTTTTCCAGCCTATGTTTGAAGACTGCATAACTCAGGTGGGAATGGGATTAGCTGTACAAAAGAAGGACCATCCCCATATTTAGGGAAGTGAGCTTCCATATAAACCAACCAAAAAAACAGTGCATTTTGATTCATAGTGATACTTTAGGGTTTCCAAGGCTGTGAACCTTCAGGATGCAGAAGGTTTCTCCTGCAGAGCAGCTGGTGGAGCCAAACTGCGAACTTTGCAGTTAGCAGCTGAGTGCTTAATCACTGTGCCCCCAGGACTCCATTTACATATAATATCCTGAATGTAAACCAAAAAACAAAACAAAACCCATTGCTGTCGAGTTGATTCCCACTCATAGTGACACTATAGGACAGAGCAGAACTGCCCCATAGGTTTCCAAGGCCATACATCTTTATGGAGGCAGCCTGTCACATCTTTCTCCTTTGGAGTGGCTGCTGGGTTTGAATCACCAACCTTTTGGTCAGTAGCCAACTGCTTTAACCACATGTCACCAGGGCTCCTTAGTGGATCAGCAGTGCCAAGGAAAAACAATAACAGCTCTAGGATGTACCAAGACTGTACAATTTAACAATGACTCCAGCTCAGTAGCTGGACACTAGACATTTTACAATTAGACGTAATTCCAGATGGGAGAAGATAATATCAAACTCCTTCCTTGCACATTGGCAACATCGTAGCATAATATCTGTGAAGAGTTATGAGTTGCTGAGAACACACAGAGTGATCTATATTTACTATGAACCTATTCAATATTCGTAGATGCAGCTACTGCTGCTACAGGGCATATGGGAGATAATGGTTTCAAAGTGCATTGGAAAGAGCACTGGACTAAAGTCAGACAGACGTGAGTTCTAATTCCAGTTCTATGTGCTTTATGATAAGTTGAAGAATCTTCTGGAGACTCAGTTTACTCAAATGCGATATTAAAAAAGGAAAAAAACAACTCATTGCCATTGAGTCGATTCTGACCCATAGCAACCCCCAGTGTGTTTCCAAGGCTGTAACTCTTTATAAAAGTAGACAGCCTTATCTTTTTTCCACAAAGCAGCTGATGGGTTTAAACCACCCACCTTTTGGTTAGCAGCCAAGTGCCTTAACCACTATACCACCAGAGCTCCTTTATGGAAATAACAAAGTAATTGCCCTACTCAACTCGTATTTTGTTGTTAGGAAGATGAAAGATATGAAAATGCTCAGAAAATTGTAGAGCAGAGACAATTATATTTATTGTGATGAAAGCACTGAAGCTCATTTACTCCCTGTGGTAGTTATGTTTGTGTGTCAACTTGGCTGGGCCTGGTTGAGTGGCTGGGCAGGTGGTGGTAGTTATTCCCCATGAGGAGGCTGGCAATCAGCTCCATGGTGGGATCTCCCACAAGCAGCTGACTAGCTGCCTTTGGGATGTGGTCTGCTTCCTGTATATAAGGAGAAGCTTTGAGAATGGTCTCTAGCCTATGGCACGCTTGGACCCTGCATGTAACCATGTCATTGCTCAGAAGCCTGCTATGCTCTACCGACCTTGGCACGTACAATGGACTTAAGTTAATGGCCTGCCGTGTGGTTTGGTAACAGCGAGACTGTGCCTTTTGACTTGTTAACCTTGGGGTTTCTCAGCCTCAGCAGCCTGCAGCTGTCTGAGTGAAGAAATGCCTGTGGCTCCAGTGGGCTGGGAGCAGGAGGCAGAGCTGGACCCCAAGGTTGAGGGGCTTTCACCCAGCCCCTAGAGCCTGGCACTTTGAACTTGGACTTAAAGCCTCCAAATTGTAAGAATAAACTCCTGTTAGTTAAGGCCATCCCATTTGTGGTGTATCTCTTGTCAGAGCAGTACTAGGTAAATGGAATACTCCCCTACCTGGAAATAGGCAAAGGCCAAGTGATCCAAGGCATCCTCTAGACTTGCCTCATCCTCTGTGTTCCACTCTCCATAAGATCCTCGGAAGAGACTGGCAGCCTCCTCCAGCCATGGAATAGCGTGATAGTAATCCCCCATGTCATAGGCCACCTGTAGGGAACAGAAGGATCATCACTGAAGTCTTAGTCCACAGGTAGAGAGAAGGAAATGACAATTCAAAGAGTAAGAAGGACTTTGGAACCCAAGAAGGCAAGTTTTACTCTCAAATTCATTTTCATTCAATTCCATAATAATTTATTAAGCATACATAATATGCATGGCATATCCTTTGTAGAGAAGGCACATAAGAGTTTTTTCATTCAAAGATATTTATAATCCTGGGGAGAAGAGAAATATGAACTCAAGTAACTTTAACATTGGGCAGAATGGCATGAAAGCTTACAGAAAACAGACACAATATGCTGGGAGGCATAGGGAAGGGAGGAGAGTGGGGAATCTCAGAAGGCTTTATAGAAAAAAAAAAGAGCATCTGAAATGGGGCTTGTGTGAAGATGGAAAAGGATTTCAATGAGCAGAGAATGGGAGGAAGAGCAGTCTAAGATGAGGGAATGGTAGAAACAGAAGCCAAAAGAAAACATGTGTTCAAGTAGCCCATTATGGCTGTAGCCTACAGTAGAGGGGAGCAGAAAATGAACTTAGAAAGGTAGTAGGGGCTCAGCTAATGAGAATCGTGAATGTCATGTTTTTTTAGGAAGATATTGCTGGTAGCAATGTACAGAATAGACTACATTCATTCCAATATTTACTGAATATTTACTGTATTGTAAATACAGAGCTTATAATCAAGTGAGGGGTACAGGAATAAACCAACAATTGTAACACATGTGTAAACATGGAAATGCTATGGGAGCCCAATGGATTTGTTCTGTAGTAAATGCAGTAGAATGCTGGGAATATGGCAACACATACCAGACATAGCACCTGTCACATACTGGAACCAATAAGTAAGTTTAGCAATGTCTTAGGACACAAGGTATATATAAAAGTCAACTATATTTTTAAAGACTAGCAGCAACTAGAATACCAGAATGGCAGGTGGAATTTCCTGGAAGTTGATGTTGGAGCCAGCATGGAATTACAAAGTCAGAGTTGGAAGAATATTCAGAAAATGATCTAATTCTATTATAATTTCCCAGACAGCACAGGATCTAGAGATATTACAACTCTAGTCTAAACAATAAATTAATTCCTATTCCAGGCATCCTGTAGGGTGCCACAAACAGTTTGCACAGAAAGGCTGGCAGTCCAGACCCATCCAGTAGCACAAGAAAAGCCTGGTGATCTGCTTCTGTAAAGATTACAGCCAAGAAAACCCTATGGCACAGTTCTACACTGTAACACAAGAGGTCACTATCAATAGGAATTGACCAGATGGTAACAATTTTGAGTTTCTTTATTTTTTAATCCTAGCTCTGTTATCTTTCTGGACCCTAAGTAAAAAGGTTGAGTTGAAGAATAATCATCAAGAATGATTAATTTTTTTTTCTGCCAAGTTAACAACTTATTTAATTAACATTCTCATGAGAAATTTTAAGCCATAACAGTATGGTAGATTGAGATAACTAGAAGCCTTCCAATCACAAATACTTATAAATTTTGAATAAAATATAACAAGGATTTTTTTATATATATTTGCAGGGAAATTCCAATGTACCAGAAACAAAAAAAAGAGTTGAAAACTCAAGAAATAAGCTTATGAGCTATCCAGAGTGGGGGTGGATGTAAGTCTTAGTAACATTGGTGCTTAGTAACTTTAGGTTATAACTCCTACAATGAGGAGAGAAGATAAGCCTTCCTTGCTAAGCCAACTCAGCTTAGAGTGCTGAGTTGATTCCAACTCATAGTGATCCTATACGACTAGAACTGCCCCCA